AAAAAAAATACATTTAAAAAAAAAAGAACTAGAGGCCCAGTGCATGAATTTGTGCATGGGTGGGTTCCGGCCGGCCTGCCCCAATCGGGGTGGGAGGGCCGATCAGGGGGGGGGCTGGCCAGGGAGAGGGGCCGTGGATGGTCAAACTCCTGGTTGAAGGGACAATTTGCATATTAGCCTTTTATTATATAGGATGATGCAGTATTTGCATATAACCTAAGCACATCCTTTCATATACTTTAAATTCTCTAAATTTTGTGCATGGGTGGGGTCCGGCCGGCCTGCCCCAATCGGGGTGGGAGGGCCGATCAGGGGTGGGGCTGGCCAGGGGGAGGGGCCGTGGATGGTCAAACTCCTGGTTGAAGGGACAATTTGCATATTAGCCTTTTATTATATAGGATGATGCAGTATTTGCATATAACCTAAGCACATCCTTTCATATACTTTAAATGATCTCTAAATTACTTTTAATACCTAAAACAGTGTTACTACTATGTAAATAGTTGTTATATTGTTGAGGGAATAATTACAAGAAAGTAAGTCTGTACATGTTCAGTAGAGATGCAACCATCTTAGACCAAGAACATAGTACATATCAGCAATAATATAACTTTTTTTTTTTAAGAAAATTTTGGTCTGTGATTGGTTGAATTAATGAATGCAGAATACAAGGATTCAGAGGGTCAACTGTGCCCACTGGGAGATATGAGAGGATATATAAAGAGGAATTTGGTGCTTTGTTGATACTGATGACTTCCTTGTCTAAGGATTTTGAATAAGATCCTTGCAAGATCTGTGTAGCCATGTAGCATCAGCTCAAAATGTGGGTGAGAGGTGTATTACTCTCTCGGGTTCATCTCAACACAACTCCCTCTGTCTCATGTGCCATTGGAATGGTGGTTACAAAATAATCTGAGCTATAGTGGGTTGATAACTAATGCAATAATCATAACCTAGAACAAAACACGTCATAGGAATAAATACACACTGGATGAATGAATTTAAGAGGAGGAAACTTCTCCCATCCTCAAAACCTTTCTCCGCTCACTGCCCCCTCATCACTCTCAGAATAGAATCCCAACTCCTGGCAATGATCTACACACTGTGCAACCTTGGCCCTGAGTCCTCTCATCCTGCTCACTCCATGCTAACATTGACGTCCTCACCATGCCTCAGACAAGTCAGTCTCACTTCCATCTCAGGACCCTTCCACTTGCCTTCTTCTTCTCCAGGAATGCTTTCCACCCAGCTCTTCCCATAGATTATTCCCCCCCTCCCCATCATGCACCAGAGCTGTCTACTTATTCTCTATCTGAGTCTGTCTGAATTTTGCTTGGTAGTAAAGTTTGTTCATTAAATTCCACATATGAGTAAAATCATATAGTACTTGTCTTTCTCTAACTGACGTATTTCACTTTGCATAATGTTCTCCAGGGACATCCATGGCTGCTACAAAGAGTAAAATGTTCTTCCTTCTTATGCCTGCCATTACTCTTGATTAATTACCCTGTTTTATTTTTCTATATAGTACTTATTACTACATGAAATTATATTTAGCATTTAGTTGTTTATTTTCTGTCTCCCCACTAGATAATAAGCTCCTTGATAATTGGAATTTTTCCTTGTTCACTGCTTTATCTCCAGTTCCTAAAAGATGGCCAATAGGTTGTCAATAAATACTGATTGAATAAATAAATAAATGGCTTTTCTGAAAGGCTATTTATTATGATCTAATTACCTTTTGAGTAAGACCAAAGATAGGCACCAAGCCATGAGTAAATTTAAAAAGGTAATATAAAAGGGGTCTGAATTCAACCACATGGGAAGAAAACACTTAAGAAATCCATTGGAAAATATATGGCAAAGGTAGAAAGTACACCAGCTGTGTACACCTAGCTCAACTTCTAAATGATCTTGGTAGGGTTAGGGTCAGACGACTTTGTGAATATCTAAAACCATCTGTATTAGTTTCCTGTGGCTGCTGTAACAAATAACCATAAATTTGGTAGCTTCAAACAACAAAAATTTATTTTCTCATGGTTCTGGAGACCAGAAGTCCAAAATCAAGGTGTCAGCAGGGCTGTACCCTCTCTAGGGCCTCTTCCAGCTTCTGATAGCTATCATCGACTTGTGGCTGTTTCACTCCATCTCTGCCTCTGTCTTCATATGGCCTTCTCCTCTGTGTCTCTGTTATTTGCTCTTCTGTCCCTGTCAAATACCCCTTTGCCTTTCTCTTATAAGGACACTTATCATTGATTTAAGGACCCTCTGGATATTCTAGTATGATCTCAAGATCCTTAATTGTCCCTGCAAAGACCATTCCCCGCCCCCGCCCCAATAAGATAACATTCATAGTTTCTGGAGATTATGACATGGTTCAGACGTGGACATATCTATTGGGAGGGCGTACCTTTCAAGCCATTACACCATAGAGGCAGGATAATTATGTATTGATATGTGTATTTCCCTGGTTTTAGATTATATGACTCCAAAAAAGGTAGCCTACATGTTATGAGTCTCTAGTAAAAAAATGTTTAATATCAACCATGCCCAATTTAATGCAATCATTTAATGTGGATTTTTTTTTCTAGGATCTGTATCTATATCAAGATGCTCTGAAGAATAGCAACTATCCTCAGGAACATCTAGTGTTACAAAATGACTAAAACTAATTCTACCATCTTCCATTTTGTCATCATCTTCATGTTAATACTTGAGATCAAAATCCAGTTATCCGAGGAAAGTGAATTTTTAGTTGACAGATCAAAGGGAGGTCTCACCCATGTTCCCAAAGACTTATCCTTGGAAACAACAATCTTAGATCTATCACAAAATGATATATCTGAGCTTCAGGCTTCTGACATCCTATTACTATCCAAGCTGAGGGTCTTGAGAATTTCTCATAATAGAATCCAGTATCTTGACATGAGCGTTTTCAAATTTAACCAGGAACTGGAGTATTTGGATTTGTCCCACAACGAGTTGGAGAAGATTTCTTGCCACAGTACTGTGAACCTCAAGCACTTAGACCTCTCATTTAATGCATTTGATGCCCTGCCCATTTGCAAAGAGTTTGGCAACATGTCTCAATTAGAATTTCTGGGTTTGAGTGCCACACAGCTACAAAAGTCTAGTGTGCTTCCAATTGCTCATTTGCATATCAATAAGGTTTTATTAGTCTTAGGAGACCATTATGGGGAAAATGAAGACCCCGAGAGCCTTCAAGACCTTAACACAGAGAGTCTGCACGTTGTTTTCCCCGCAGGAAAGGAATCCCACTTTGCTTTGGATGTGTCAGTCAGTACGGCAGTAAGTCTGGAACTGTCGAATATCAAATGTGTGCTAGATGATAATGGATATTCTTATGTCCTAAGTGTTCTGTCAAAACTTCAAAATAATTCAAGGATATCAAATCTTACTTTAAACAACATTGAGACAACTTGGCATTCTTTCATTACAATGTTCCAGTTGGTTTGGCATACAAGCATAGAGTATTTCTCAATTTCAAATGTGAAACTACAAGGTCGCCTTCAGGTCAGAGATTTTGATTATTCTGACACCTCCCTGAAGGCCCTGTCTATACACCAAGTTGTCAGTGAGATGTTTAGTTTGCCACAAAGTTACATCTATAAAATCTTTTCAAATATGAACATCCAGAATTTCACAGTGTCTGGTACACATATGGTCCACATGGTTTGCCCATCCCAAATGAGCCCATTTCTGCATTTGGATTTTTCCAATAATCTCTTAACAGACATGGTTTTTAACAATTGTGGAACCTTGACTAGGTTGGAGACACTTAGTTTACAAATGAATCAATTAAAAAAACTTGCAAATATAGTTCATATGACCAAGGAGATGAAGTCTCTACAACAATTAGACATTAGCCAGAATTCTCTAAGCTATGATGAAAATGAAGAATATTGCTCTTGGACTATAAGTTTATTAAGTTTAAATATGTCTTCAAATATACTCACTGATTCTGTTTTCAGATGTTTACCTCCCAGGCTCAGGGTACTTGATCTTCACAGTAATAGAAAAACAAGTATCCCTGAAAATGTCATCCGTCTGGAAGCGTTGCAAGAACTCAATCTTGCTTCCAATTCTTTAGCCCACCTTCCTGGATGTGATTCCTTCAGCAGCCTCTCTGTACTGATCATTGACTTTAATTCAATTTCCAACCCATCAGCTCATTTCTTCCAGAGCTGCCAGAAGATTAGGTCCATAAATGCAGGAAACAATCCATTCCAATGTACATGTGAGCTTGTTCCAGGGGACCCAGACCCGACACAGGGCCAGGAACACATCTTTACACGAACTCCAAAGAACTCTTCAGTTTCATGCCTTTATTTCGTACAGTGAACACGATTCTGCCTGGGTGAAGAATGAATTACTACCAAACCTAGAAAAAGAAGATATACGGATTTGTCTGCATGAGAGAAACTTTGTTCCTGGCAAGAGCATTGTGGAAAATATCATAAACTGTATTGAGAAAAGTTACAAGTCCATCTTTGTTTTGTCTCCCAACTTTGTTCAGAGCGAGTGGTGCCATTATGAACTCTATTTTGCCCACCACAATCTCTTTCATGAAGGATCTAATAACTTAATTCTGATCTTGCTGGAATCCATTCCAATGTATTCTATTCCTAGCAGCTATCACAAACTCAAAACTCTCATGGCACAGCGAACTTACTTGGAATGGCCGAAGGAGAAGAGCAAACATGGACTTTTTTGGGCGAACCTAAGAGCATCCATTCGAATTAAGTTGATGTACCAAGCAAAAGAAACAGATCACACATACATCTAAATATGTCCCCCCTTTCACTTGCTGCTTTTGGAAGTTCCAACAATGCCTTTATTTTGCATCAACACAAACCTAAACATAATTTTGAATTTATAAAATAAACAAAAATGTGTACTTTCAGGCCCCTGTTCACCATTTATTCATGGTAATAAAAATGAATGAAATGATATAATTTTGATATAAAGTCAATTTCTAACATATGAGGGATTTACTTGTGTGTTTTTTTCTAGAACTGAATTCATTGAATTTATCATGTAATTAAAAGAAGCACCTATTTAAAGAACTTCAATGATATATGTTCCTGTGTGCTGGGGTTAATGTTAGAAAACTCCATGCCTTTTGCTAGTACACCTGTAGCTGGGTTGGTGTAGCTGTTGGTGCGTTTTTCATTTCCACTTAGCGTTTTCTTCTATGTGCTGAAAGCTGCATACTGGTAATGCTGGAGACGCTGCCTGATGGGCTTCCTTGCTGGCCAGGAGAACACACTTGGTCCACAAAATGGGCAATTCAGAAATGATGGCGGTTGTCCTTGGAAGCAGCACTTAATCCATGTTTAATCAATGTCAGAGGAAGAATTGGCAGGTGAGTACAATTTTCTCGCCCGTTTGGGGGGATAAACCTGGGAGTGTCCTTTACACTCCCCCCGAGTTCCCCAGTGACATGGAATTCTGATTTTCCATGGGAGCAAACAACTTGATAAAGCATTCCTTACTGGGTTACTTTTTATTCTTATCTCATTCCTCCAAGGGTATTTCCTAGGATCAGCTCTGAAATAAACGACCTGTAGTTGAATACTTGTCTCAGGGTCTGCATCTGAGGGAACCCAAGCCAAGAGTTTGTTGCATCTCAGGTCAAATGGAAATTCTGAGTCTGGCTTTCCAGGGCAGGAAGTCTTGCTGAGATTCCAGTTGTCTGAGCTGGCATGTAGGAGAGCCTTTGTTCTTTGGGTCAGGGGAGGAATGTAGTCAGTGTGTTCTGCTTCTATACTAGCTCCCTTTGGGGCACTATTAGAATAGGGCATGGGCAGATTGGAGCAATGCAAGAAATGGGCTCTATCAGATATTTATTCCAGATTTATTTGACCAGATATTTGTCTTACTCATCAAATATTCTGCCTACCCTTTTACTTCAGCAGCCAACTCTGGGCAGGTGTAGCCTGACAGCCGCTTGTCATAACTTCCCCCTGAACCTCTCCCTTTATGTCCTGTGGCTTCACTAAGACCACTGTACAGGATGTTTGTAGAAGCTTGTTCAACCATTCTGGTATAGGCACAAACCTAGCAGTGCCACAGATATCCCCCGAGGAGATCCTTAACCATTTAAATATTCCTCTCTTTTATTTTTATGGGTAAAAAAAATGAGGCATAGTCCAGTGATGGAAGTTTAGCTAGACTTATTGTGGTGATCATTTCACAATATATACATATATCAAATAATTACGCTGTACAGCTGAAACTAATATAATGGTATATGTGAATTATACCTCAATATTTTAAAAAGTCCACCATAATAAAAGAAAAATAAATGAGGCATAGTCTACACCATTTCTCAAAGAGTCCCCAACAGAATTGAGCCTTACTTACTCATAGGATTAACCAGATCAATAACTCACTTTTGGATTGGCTTTCTCTTCCTTGTTTCATTCTTCTTAGCTCCCTTGCTCTAAAGCCCTGAGATTAAATCGTCAAACAAATTATCTTCACACAAAGCTCTTGTCTCCGTCTCCACTTCTGGGAAGAGAAACCCAAATAACACATACATATACTAGTTGCTTCTTGTCCTAAGAAATTTAGAGTCAAACAGAGGATGTTGTATGTATCCAGATAGCTAAAGTAAAAATCAACAAAACAAAAATATACAACTGAAGTTCAGAGACCATTTAGAGTGAGTGAAGAAAATCTTAGAAATAATGTTTTTTTCACTAGGCCTTGATGGAAGACATTAATTTTGGATTTTTCTATGTGTGATGAAGAATAGAAAGGTCATCCTAAGTAGAGAGATGAAGAAGAAGAAAAGAAAAGAGATGAAAGAAAATACCCAGGCCTATTTTGAGACTGGTGTGTCAATTTGACTGAACCATGAAGTTTTTGAAAAATGATAGTGAGATACAAGCATGGAAAGTTAGATTAAGATCATTTTGTCAAGGCTCTTGAAATACAAGGTATGGAATGAGAACTTAGGGATGTAGGAAAGTCATCATGTAAACTTTTATAAGGAATAATAGTGGAAACCAAATTAAAACCATGAAATATATGCTAGAAATGCACGAAAGCTCTTGTTGTGTAATGGAAGTTGCAAACGGAACTGGATTTTCTTGTTGTTGTTTTTTCCAGGATGATTGTGCGTGCTGTATTGAACTTCAGTATTGCATAACCAAGTTTCAGTTGCTCAGCGCCACTTGTGTCTTGGTTTGCTAGGGCTGATATGCTGAAGCTCTGCAACCTAAGTGGCCAAAACCATAGAAATTTATTGGCTGACAGTCTGGAGGCTAGAAGTCCAGAATCAAGGTGATGGTAGGGTTGGTTGCTTCTGAGTGGGAGAGAAGAGCAGTTAAAGGCCTCTTCTTCTTAACTTATAGAGGGTTATCTTTCCCTGTGTTTCTCTTTTTTTAATCCTCACCAGAGGATTTTAGATAAAGAGAGGAAGGGGG